GGCCAAGAAGGCTAACAGCATCCTGACCGCCTGGATCAGAAGTGATGAGACCAGGAGCAGGGAGGTGATGGTGCCCCTGTACTCAGCACAGGTGAGACCATACCTTGAGTCCTGTGTCCAGTTTTGGGCACCACAGGATAAGAAGGACATGGAGGTGCTGGAGCGGGTCCAGAGAAGGGCAGCGAGGCTGGTGAGAGGGCTGGAAAAGATGCCTTAGGAAGCCCAGCTGAGGGAACTGGGGTTGTTTAATGTAGAGGAGACTGAGAAGTGACCTTATTGCTCTCTACAGCTACCACAAAGGAGGTTGTAGTGAGGCTAGTGTTGGTCTCTTCTCCCAAATTACTGATGGTAGGACGAGAGGAAATGGCCTCAAGTTGTGCTAGGGGAGGTTTTGATTGGATATTAGGAAGAATTTCTTCCCTGAGAGAGTGGGTTGGCACTGGAACAGGCTGCCCAGGGAGGCGGTGGAGGCACCAGCCCTGGAGGGGATCAAAAACCGAGTAGATGTAGCATTAGAGGCTGTGGTCTAGTGGTCAGGGAGATGTTGAGATGGAGGTTGGACTTGATGATCCTGGAGGTCCTTTCCAAACATAGTGAATCTCTGATTGTAATTACTGTGCTTTAGTTTCACGTTTGTTAGCTTCAGAAGGGAGAGAGAGTGCCCATCTGTCTTCCTTCACATAGGCTCAAATTTTAAAGGCATTTAGTTCACTGGTGCAAAAAACATTGTTATACTTTTAAGGGAGATAATGGAAAGTTATGGTTTCTGTGGAACATATAAGTCTGAATTTGTGCAATAACAAGTTGCACTTTGACTGGAAGCGTTAATTCAAATGGTCTGTTCTAGTCTGTATGGCGTTTTCCATTTCACTCAAGTCCTTTACAGCTGTCAGCTAGGATATTTTCCATGTTTTTAACCCAAGCTAGGTTTCCCAGGTTGATTTATTCAAGGGATAATTCACAAGTAGTTTGGTTGGGGTTTTTTTTTCCCCCTTAAGCTTCAAAAATTGTGAATCTGGAATCTACCTTTCATTTTCATATTAAAAGAAGCTTTTGTGGTTTGTCTCTGTTAAGTGTGAGCTTCTGTTTTGGTGTCTTTAAATGTCAGTGTATTTAAGTGATAAAAACTACTTAAATTACTTTGTCAGCTGTCCATACTTGGGAGGAAACTATTTTTGACTTTTCTCTTTGAGATATGTGGATGATAAAGAACTCTTTTTACAGTTCTCATGTGAATTCAGTTCCAACGCTTTATTTCTTGGTTGTTATTAGGAGCAGTAATGACAATGACAATGATCTTTCTTTGCTGCAATACATGTACACCTGGCAGTGTTCACATTTTCAGTATTTTGTTTCCCCTCTGTGTTTCGTAGTATTTCTAATTACATAATATGTTATTAAATTCGGCAACTAGTAACACAAAAATGAGATTTTAGCATAAAGTTCTATCAAAACACCTTTTTCAAAACATTTTTTGTAACCATGTTGAACTTGTCTCTGTCCATAGCTATACATTGCTTCCCATATGTGAAGAAACGGATTCCAGTCATGTACCAGCACCACACGGATTTAAACCCAATCGAAGTCGCCATCGATGAAATGAGTAAAAAAGTTGCAGAACTGAAGCAGCTTTGCTCTTCAGCTGAAGTAGATATGATCAAATTGCAGCTGAAGCTACAAGGGAGTGTCAGTGTTCAGGTAACACCATATACTTTGCCGTTCAGATGTTTCAATTGCTTTTCTCCTTGAAACATTATAGAAGTAGCAATTTATGATTAGGTTTTGTTCTGGATATTCAGTAGTGTCCTAAATTTAGAAATATGCTCACTGTTTAAAGTTATTTCCAGAGTAGGAAAATCAATAAAAGCATTTCATAGAAACACCGATTGTGGACAGTTACATTAAAGGATTGAGATGCATCTCTGGAATCTGTATGATGGTCTGAGCACCAACAGGTTTTGGTCTAATGCTGAAAATACCTTAAAATGTTGACTTCCTGTATGAGGATGAATGAGTGTATTTTGCCTAGACGTAGGTCTGCTCAGACAGCAGTTTCAACATGGTGGTCGTTGCCTTTGTGTTTGGTCAGGTGCCCGTGGAGATGAAGAGGCAGGAGGGTTAGAGTAGGAAATCTCACTGTGCAACACTTCATTTTGCCTAAGGCAAGCATGAACTGCATGTATAAAGAAACCATCAGATTCACCCAAATAGGGTAAATAAAGCTGTTGTAGTATGTACAAATCAATATGTCTTAAGAATAATGCCTTAAGAGTAGGCCTTAAGAATACAATGACGAAAGTGCTGCTGCTATTTTTAACTGATGCAAATCAAAGGAACAGTAAACAGAGTCATCTGAAATGAACTGTTACATTGAACAAAAAAAGACGGGGAGGGGGAAGGAAACAAACCTAAACCAAGGTTCCAGATTCAGCAAGTTGTCAAGCTAGCATTTGGGATAAGAAAGGAGGGTCTTCTACTGTTAATATAAAACAAAAAAAATAGGGATGAGTCAGAAATCATTGAATCCACTTTTCATGTAGCTGCCGTAGTAGCACAGTTAAATTTCTGCTAATTATTGCAGAATTTTCAGCTTGGACAAGTGTTCTCAGTAGTTAAGCAGACCAAACAAAATGAGCAGATTTAGCTCATTTTCCCACCCTGATTTCATAAACAGAGATAACAAATTGGCAATGCCAGCAGTGACTTTGCCACATCATCAGAGTGGTTTCTTTGTGCCTGGACAGGTCCGTAGTGAGTGCTGTAGAGACCTCTCCTGCTCCTGTGCTCCAGCTCCAGCAGATTTCCTATTTCATAAGCCATTGTGCTCTCCTCAGGAGAGGGAATCAGACAGGTGCCTGTAGCACCTTCTATTTCTAAGACAGTATGTCAGAGAACTGACTTTTATTTCATAATTCCTGTTCTTTTTAGGTTAATGCTGGTCCACTAGCGTATGCAAGAGCTTTCTTAGATGACACCAACACCAAAAGATATCCAGACAATAAAGTAAAGCTACTAAAAGAGGTTTTCAGGTATGTTTTTTTGAGGGGAAAAAAACCAAAAACAAACCACCAACCAAACACTTTTTTCCAGACTAATATCATGAGAATTTTATTTTTTTAAACCTTTTAATTTACAGTGTTTTCACTGCATTAAAACCATACTTTAAGCTGGAGTTTTGAATTAATCTTTTGGATTTTGTATTCCTGACAACGTTTTTTTATTATTCTATCCAAATCAGGCAATTTGTTGAAGCTTGTGGGCATGCTCTGGGTGTAAATGAACGACTTATAAAGGAAGATCAGTTGGAATATCAAGAAGAAATGAAGGCTAACTACAGAGAAATGGCGAAAGAGCTTTCTGAAATAATGCATGAACAAGTATGTGCTGAAATTAAATTATACATACCAGCATTCAGAATGTAGCTGTAGTGTGAACCCACTAGGAAGAGTGTGTGTAATGCTTTACACAAAAGGATTCTTTCTTTTTTATTCTATTGGAGTGTAAGCATACTATGGTTTGTGTAGCTTATCTTTTTGTTGCTGTTTGTGAATTTTCTGCAGATGCTTTTTTGACCTTCAGAATTAAGTTGCCCTCATTAAGAAAGTAAATCTGTTTGGCCTGGGTTTTATTTTGTAGGAGAGGAAGACTACAGTAAAAAGAAAATTTTAATTACATGAATATATATGTCATTTATATTTCATATGTGTAATTGCAGGGGTCTCTATTCAGTGACCCAGAAAACTCATTTTAGTCTGTACTTTCTGGTAGCTGTAGGGGCATTTGATCTGCAAACTTAGCCATTTTTCTTTAGATTTTGGAGATATAAGCATTTACTTTTGCAACAAAGAGTTAAACATCTTTTGAGAGATATTCCAACACATTTTCTTGAGGGGAATCTGCTACAGACAAGCTGGAGATATGGGAGGAGGAAAACCAGAACTCTTACAGAGTAAGATGTGTAGGACCTTGAGTCTGGAATTTATGGTAGAAATGTCTCCTGACTTGAGAGGCAAGGATATCATTTCCAGGAAGACAGGAATGGCTGAAGATTCGTGCTTGATCCCTACCTTCGTGTCATTTTTGTTCATCATATTCATTGCTTCAGGTTGCTTTGCTTTCATCTGCTGTTATTTGTATAATATTTTCCTAGAGTCATAAGAAGAACTGATTGTTCTTAACCCTGAAGACTTGTATTTTTGGCTCACAAGAAATACCTGTGTTTTCTGATGATATTTTACTTTACAAATACACATGTCTATGAGACGTCCTTAGGTATATGACCATAACAACAACTTCTCTTAGTCTAGGAATCAGTACATCCTAGTCTGGATAGCCAGTTGATACAGAGAGGAGCTCTGAGTTCTATTGTCTGTACAAAAACTATTTGCGTTACTCAGAAATCAAATCACACAGGTCAAATCAAACTTGGCACCGATTCTAGCTGACACGTACATGCTCTGTTCATCTTCCAGCTTTTTTACAGGATTGCCTCCTTTAGATGTGCTATGACTTTACTATTTTTTGACATCTCTAAATTACTCTATTATTGTCCAAGAAATAATTACTCAAAAAGCTGGTCTGCTTGCTGGTGTAAGAGCTTATCTCAGAAAGTTTTGCCTTTATTCTAATCTTGCTTAGATAGTACCCAAAACTTCTATAGCTATTTTTTTTTCTGTTCAAAAATGTGTTAAGTGTTTAAAGTTCACTTCACACACTTTCTTGGTCTCCATTATTTCTTGATGTGGTTCTCTCAGGTATGGTGTTATGAGTAGCTCAGTGCTATGATATAATTCTGATGAAGCACAAGAATGCAGCAAGTGCATAGGCTTTATTTTCACTCTCTTATTCATTTGTTATAGTATGACAGGGAAAAGCTTAGCACCCTTTTTAAACCACCAATGGCAGAAAATATTGTGAAACAAGGTTTGTAGTGAGTGATGTCTAAATCCATGTGTTGGATTTTTTTAAAAGGAAAAAACATAACAGTGTCTTTCATATATGTGTGTAGATGAAAACAGCTTTGAAAGATCCTTAGAACAGCAAAAGAGATTGCTTAGCTTACAAAAATGGTACAGTTTGGCTTTATTTCAGTGTGGTGTATTGAAGTGGGTAGGTTTAGGGTTTGAGGAAGGAGGATAACTGACTGGACAACTGATTAGGATGAATGAGGTATATGGGAAAATTAGACAACTGTACAGAACACCCCTTCAGAAAAAAAGAGGAAAATGTTTTGGTCAAATAATTTAATGATAAGGATAATAAATGAAAGATTAACATTCTCCTGGTGCAGGAAAAACTAGAAGGATGTAATGACAATTTGTACACAAGAAAAAAAAATACTTCAATACTTTGAATTTGGTGCAAGATACATATGTTCTAAAAACGCTCAGGCCTGCGAGTTTCCAAAGATGTACAAGAAGAAAAACATGTAATGCCTGAAACCTCATCAGCAAATCACATTGTCTAAAAGTGAACAGAAGAATGTGCGACCAGCTGGTACCTTATAAGGCAGTGTGAGCAGAATATGAAAGTACAGCACTGACTGCAGTAATGTGTACGATCAGCCTACCACTGTGTTCCTTTTATACAGATGTAGTTGGCTGTAAATGATCAAAACATGCTGTATTGTTGGGGTGTTTTGGAGGTTTGGTGTGGTGGGGTTTTTTATTAGATTGATCACCCCACTGAAGGCTTAGAATCGTGAAGGTTTTTCACTGAAGTCTTTAAGTGTTGTATTCTTGTGCCTGCCTGTTGCTGCATTTGGAAAAAAGAGCTCACAATGTTTGTTCTGATGTCATTGAAGAAACTATTATCTGTCTTGTAATTGTGTGGGGTTTGCACAACTGCAAATATTTTGTTACAAAAAATACAGAAAAGAATCTTAACAGCTTTTTCTTTTTTCTCCTCTGCTGCTTGCCAATATGATCAGATGGGATGGTAATTAGTTTTCTTTACTTCTGCTCTGTTTGTCTAATCTTTATGTCATTCCCTTTTTCCCCCAGTATTTCTAATCGTAGCATCAGTTAATTTATAGCTGTTAAAAATGAAGTCTTTTTGGTGCTTTGGCAGCTTTGGCTAAGAAATGCTCAAATCATACCTCTAAGGCAAAAAAAGCTGCTGTTGTTGTGAAACTCCTTTTGAAAGTTAACAAGAGAAATGAGAGTATTTAGCTGAACTTCCTCTAGAGAAGACAGTGTAATACCTGAATTATGAGAACTGGTGTTGTAGAAGTAACTGCTGCCACCCTAGCTCTAGGAGAGGCTGGCTGAAAAGAGTAACCATCCTCAGGCAGTAGTTCTGTGCAGTTGAGGGGGTCCTGGGAGGTGTGGTGGGTAAGGGGCGTGTGGTGGAATGGGGCAGGGGTTTTGGTGCTCCTGGCGTTCGTGGCGCTTTGATAAACAACGTGTTTTCCATTTCAAGATCACTGCGGTGGAAGAAAAGGCCAGTGTCATGCCGAACTCACTGCACATCTTCAATGCCATCAGTGGGACTCCAACAAGCACAACAGTTCATGGGATGCCCAGTTCCTCTTCAGTTGCATGATTGTTTTGTAAAGGAAAATAGGTTTGGTTTGGTTTGGTTAGTCGGGTTGTTTTGTTGTTCTGTTGTTATTTTTTAAAGTCTGTGGATTTGCTTCCTTGTGTGCAAACTCAGGGCGACTTAGAAGCTCTATGTTGGGCACGTGCAAGCTGCATAGTTCATACAGATGTCTGAGCACACTTAGCAAATAGCAGTTACTGGTAGTAGTCTTTTAGAGTAAAGGAGATGCACATATATTTTCTAATCTTGCTGGTAACATTTAAAAGTGTTCACAATGTCGTTGCAGAAGTGTGTATTGGAAAATTATAAAGTTGAAGCTAATTTCTCTTTTTCATTAGAAAGTAATATTAAAATGAATTGCACATTACAAAAAAAAAGTGTTGTGGGATGTAATTTTGCAGATATGTAACATTCTGGTGTTCTTTTTTGTGTAGGGCACACAGAGACTGATTTGCAAGTACAAGAACTATTTTGGGGCTAGACAGAGACACTAGTTTTTGGGGTTTAATGGAACTGACAATATTAGTTTTTGTACCGTTTGGCAAATTGTTGTGCTTTATTTTATACCTTGTTGCATTTTGGAGGTGTGTGAACTTAGATCTTACTAAATAACTAAATACAACCAAAGGTCTGTATTAATGAACACTGAGTTATACTAAAATATCAATAGTAGTAAATTGTTATGTACATATTGTTTGTTAATACAGCCCATACAGTCTGTACATAAATGTATTACATTTCTAAGCATTTTTTTAATATTCATACCAGCTCTTATCCTTCTGCTTTCAGTTTATTGTGAAAATTTGCTCATTCCAAGTATATGCAGACTCTATAGTTCATTTATTCCTGTATATAAATAAGTGCAATATAAAGATGTATACAGTCTTTGCTATGTTAAGTTTATATGCAGTTATTAAAAGAAAGAAACTTTTTTGCCAAAGCAATGGAGTATGTAATTGCTGATTATGGTTAATGTGGTAAATGGTGGTATAATTTAAAGCTTTTTCCATATTCTTATTCTTTTAAGACATTAATTTAGTAATTTTATATTGAGGGGAAATAAAGGTTTTTAATTTTATTTAACTGGAAGCACTGTCCTGCTGTAATTAAACATTCTGTACTACATCTATATTAAAAGGAAAAAAGTAGTTACTTTTCTCACTGTGTGCTCTGGTTTTTATTTTAGGTTTGTCTCTGAGACTGGGGAAAGATGAAAGATTGATAGAAAACCCCTGGCTTTTTGCAGCTTGAGTATGAGATGAGGTGAAGACACTTCTAGGATTGATTTCATATTCCTTGTCAAAAAAGAGAATTTAGTTTATTAGTTAAGACATCAGTTTTTAATCCATCATGTTTGACTCCAGTAGGATGTTACAGTATCTAAAAGTTGTTACTCACCTGCACAGTTAATATTAGGAAGCCTTCAAACTTTTCATCACATGACACTAGAGATCACCTTTTTCTGACAACCTAAGGTTTACTGTCGTTTTCTGCAGTGTAGTATGAAACTGTGTTGTCATCATTCATCAAGCATTTTTTCCAAACAGCTCACCATGACAGTAAACTGCTGGATAACACTTTTTCCAATTCTGTTTCTGAAACAAAATTTCTGTTTGTTTAAAAATTATTTTCCTTAAAAAAAAAAAAAAAAGAGGGGGGTGACAAATACTTCTAGATGGTGAACCTATAGAGCTGTGTTAAAAGACAGTCCCCTTCCTCCTCCTCTACCTTATATGCCTTCACTTTTTTGTTTGTGGAATTGGGTGTCAGAATGCTTTATGATTGCCATTCAGGAAGATTTCTGTATCAGTCTATTAATAGCCACTGTGTACATCAAAGTGGCTTTTTGCAATTACCTCTTTCTCTACATTCCCTTTTGCCCTGGGAGCCAAACTGACAGTTTCCTGCACCTGTGCAACACCTTTTGCACTGAGATCTCAATTTGGTAGGGTTGTATCTGCCAAGCAAGCTGTAAATGTAGCATGTATTATAATTGAATATGGAGGTGTGTATATTTACATACATCTGAACATGTGTAATGGTTTTGCTCTACTTGCTGAAAGTTAGCCTATGAAAAATAAAGGATTGTAGCAGACAAAAGGTTGATGTAGCCTTATGCAGAGTAGCTGGGATAGCAGCCCAGCCTGCCCTGAGACTGCAATGCAGGCTGACCTAGTGCACTTCATGAGAAAGGTTGAGATGTTTATGACTATGAGACTCTAGTGCTATCTCTGGGGGTGGAGGTGGGCTGAGCTGGCCTGCCAAACAGCTGAAGGAGAGAGTCTTGTGAAGATAAGACAGTCTTGTTTTGGGTAAACTAACAGAAAAAACATCTCTTACATGAATCTTGAAGGCCAGAGTGTCCAAGTGAAGACTTTGCCTAATTAAGAGCAAAATTAATCTTAAAATTCATGCCTCTAATGAGCCTCATGGAGTACATGCTAGCCATATATGACTGTATTACTGAACTCTCCACCCAAATCATGCTAAACCTCACCTGGAAGGTAGGAACAGACTGAACTGGGATATAAAAATCATAAAAGGTATACTTTGGGGGGGGGGGGATGAGAAGACAGAGATGGTCAATGGGCTCTACTTCTCCGCTCGTGACAGGGACACCTTGGGAAGAACTGCACCTTCCATCTGCAGCATGCCTTTCCTAGCATTGCTAATGTGCCCTGGTGCTGGTGCACAGACTCGTGTCTCCCACTGTGTCAGATGTCCCCAGGAGTTACTGACCCTCTGCAGTTAGTGCACTTATCAAAGGCAATCCCAAACCTGTTGTACCCTGTGCTTAAGCATCTGGTAGTTTGAACTCTTACACCATCTCAGCTCAAGGCTTTACCTGAGGCTCCGAGGCAGCCACGCGCGTCTCGGTGTGAGCCCCTTGGCCAGGGCTCTGACCCAGGATTCTCAGACGAGGTTGTGACTTCACAGCAGTGCTCAGTGTGAGCCCTCAGGCTGTGCAGGCAAACACCTGACTCGTACCCGTGACGCAGCAGGCAGTGGCGATGATGAGCACACGTTCAACTCTTGAGTCTACATACATTCTGTTTATAATCTTACATGATGCATTCATATTCACACCCTCTAATGTATTGCTTTGGTTTTAGATATTGCTAAGATTATAATTGTTGGGTTTGACTTCCTGAATAATCCATTTTGTAATAGCTTTCCTTCTTCAGCTTTTTTGCCTTTCTCTGGATCCACTCCAGCACCTCAGCGTCCTGCTTGTAGTGAGGAGCCCAAAACTGAACCCAGTATTTGAGCTGTGGCCTCACTACTGCCGAGTAGAGGGGCAGGATCACTTTCCTACTCCTGCTGGCCACACCATCTCTGATACTAGCCAGGATGCCATTGACTTTCTTGGCCACCTGGGCACACTGCTGCCTCATGTTCAGGTGGCTGTTCCATCAATACCTCCAGGTCCTCTTGCC